CTGTCATTAGAAAACAAGTTTACACAACTAATTAGTAGCCCTTGAGTTGACTACTGATTTGTAGTGTTGTATTGACGAATTGGAACACAATTTAATGTGTTGTATATATCTACACGAAAGTGTCCAGTGATATTACAATTGAAAAGCACCTAGCCTAAAAAGAACTGATTAATTGTGACAACAGATACGTTCGTTACAGAGCATGTGTAGAAAAACTTTAGTCTCCTCTCGTGCGTCAAAGACCAGTGGAGAAAAATCCATATAGCAAGTCCGCAACGTGGGACGTCTTCCCGAGCTCTAAAAATGCGGGGATGTAAATGACGAGCTCTAAAAATGCGAGGATGTAAGTATTGCTGTAAGAAAGAAAGGAAGGAAGGAAAGAGAAGCCTCCTTCTCCTCCTTTTGCGCATCATCGAGTACATACAGTTTGCGAAAGCCGGCGGAAAAATAAAAATGGAATGTATTTTCGAAACTCTTTCTTTTAATAATCATATAACAATACTCGTTATATTCACGATCAACATACATTACTCTTATCTATACGTTGCAAATGTTACATAAAAAAGATATCCGTTCTGCGTTTTCTAAAATTATAAAAACGACGGTAGCAAAAAGTTTCGGAGCCTGGCGGGCGGTGAACGTCGATGGCGCGACGTTCCCTCATCGCCCCCTTTTTTTCTTTCTCTCTTTCTGTCTGTCTGTCTTGTATTAAACGCTAAAAACGATAGGTAAAAAAAGGACGACGGCGGGGGAGATATAACTGTAATGTAACTAAAGTTTTTCCTAAGTCACTCTGCGGTTTTTCTTTTTCTTTCAATCGATCTTAGGACACGGTGTTTAGGAGTCGTTTCGCGGAGAACGGCCGGATCCCATTGGGCAAAAGGAAGGAACACACGCATTATATCACCACGTCATTGTGCAAACTCTTATCACGAACGGCGAAATGCACGAGGACGAGAGTGCGGCGCGAACGAAACGAAGAAGAAAGAGGGAGAGGAGCCGACGAGAGAGATCCTCTCTCTCTTTCGCTTGGGAGATATATATATATATATATACACATATAAATACATATGTACATATACATACATACATATA